GTTGTTTTCCCAAAATAAAGGTTTTTATATTGAAACACATTTATCTCATAGTAATCTTAAACAATGATTAGATCCAATTTAGTATTATTAAAAAAATTATTCTATGAATGTGAACATAAAATTGATAATTAACATTATGAATTCTTCGTTTTTCCTAAATAATAGTTCAAAATATTTAAAATAAACATAAATAATAATTTATTTTTTTAAAATAACATCAAATAAGGAGACATGGCTTGCTGCCGAAAAATCTAAAACAGCGAATTCAATTTTTAATATATATTTCTAATCAAGATATTCTGTCCACAGTAGTAAGTTAATTTTTATTATATATTTTTCTTAATTTTAGACCCTCAACATATATTTGGTATAATAATGAGCACTATTAATAATATAATTAAATGAAAAAAAAAAATATTAGAACAAACATTAAATAATACTTGATTAAAGATTATCTAAAATATAACTAATTCAATTTAACTAAGTTTCCAATACACTACAAACTAACTGATGGAACTATTCCAATTATTTGAAAGTTAGTAATTTTACTTCAAATTTACATAAAATCTTACATGTATTGCTTTCAAAATATCTATATTAAAACTTTTCAATTAATATTAAATAACACACTCTTTGAGAAAATAGATATAAATATAATATATATTGATTATATATTATAAATAAATAATATAAATATCATGAGTATTAAAAAATTGAAAAATGTTTAATTTTAAATTCATAACTTCTTAAAAACTATGCTAAAATGGAATTAAATATACTGGCTTACTATTAACTTTTTAATTCTTTAAAAAAAATTATTGAAATTGCTTTAGACAACCAGTTTTAAAAAGTCTTTCCCAAATATAATTTCTTAGGTTTCCATTGGATGGCTTTTTTATTGCATTCTTAACCCAATTTATTAGTTTTAAAATTAAAAAAATATTCTATTATTTAAAAATTGCTTAAGGAGAACAATAGTAGAGAAAAACTATCAGATATAAGCAGCCTTAAGCGTTGCTTTGTAAACTATTTTTTTAATACTGCTTTCTTAAAGCTAAAAAATTATTTAAAAAATAATTAAAAAGCCATCCTAAATGGACATGAAAAAAATTGAAAGTCAAAATTTGATGCAATGTGGCCAGACATAGAAATTTAATACTAGGCCAATATTATAAAACAAATAATTTGAATGGTTTGTTTCAAGAGAAGATCCCCCATGCATGAAGGGTTCTTTACTAAGTAATTTTTTTTTTTATAAATACACCATTAGGGCATCTCCAAGCCGACCTCCAAACGCTTGAATGGAGCCTGCCTAAAGGCCAGCTCCAGACCGAACTGCAAATTTTCCAGCTATATGAGCTAAGAGTGAACAGTGGGACGCCAAATGATGGCGTTGCAGTCCATGTTCATCTCCGCCATTTTTACCACTCTACCGAACTTGTCGCCCTGGAGAAAAAAAGGATTGGAGACGGTTAACATGCAAAAGGAGGAAAACGTGTTCCATGTGCAGATGATAATCACTAACGGCATTAATTGTAGTTTCCGGGCATTTTGGAGGTGAAAATGAGATTTTCGGTTGGAGATGATCTTACATGGATGGTTTTCAGATACAAACAACTAAAAAAAAAATACCCTAAACTAACATATTTTTACTAATCTTAAGTATTTTTTTTAGTCTTATTTTTTTGACTAGAATATCTTTCAATAAAATTTAATTAACAATAAATAATAAGTATATATAAATGCAATTGTGGAATGTAAGCAGTGGCCATAATGTTTGGAACGAAAAATTTTTCGCGGACAGTTAATCCGATCCTCCCTTAAATTGCTTGCTAAAACTGTTCAAAAAGTTTATAAATAATTATTTTTTAACTATTTATTCATCTCAAAATATAATTTTAAAAATGGAAAAATAATTTATTCTCCCCCACTTTTTACACTCTCATCTAATTTATTTTCCTTAGATCTATAATAACTCGTTTATTTCTCCTTTTATTTAATTTCTTATGATCTAAGTTATTTCTATTTTTCTACTACTCTCAACATAAGTTCATTCAAAATAAACAAAAGAAAAACCAATAAAAATCGTCCAGTATTATGGTCTAGCTACATTCCTCGCTTTAGGCCCATGTCTGTCAATCAAAATATACCTGTTAAAATCACGAATTAATGAAAATAATAATAAATAAAGCTATGACAAAGTGCTGCATAAGTCTAACACTGACCGGAATCATCAGCTGTACGCAATTTTCCCAAAAAAAAGAAAAAAAATCAAAGATGTAGTCCCTCAAAGAGGCTTAGTTTCTAGGATTTAATTTGGTAATTTTCTTTTCATTTTTCTTTTAATATTTGATAAAAAGGTGAATGGCCAAGTCAAGGAAATTACTATATTGAAAAAAAAATAAGAGAAGGCTCTTTGAAGAGGGGTATTTGAATAAAGATATTTAATATGAAATAAATATATATTATAACTTTGATAATGACTTAGTAAAAAAATGAACATGTATTTGTATTAATTTCCAGGTTACATCATTTAATTATTTCAAAATTATTTAAGATTAAAATCATGATCATTCGACTTCAAATTTGATTGATATAGTTGAATCGTAACGACTCGAAGAAACAAATTTCCAATGAAATCCGAAGATCTCTCAATATCCAACATTGATTAGAAACATTAAATGCTTAAACAAAATGCTCATGATAAATAGAAAATAGATAATGAGCGCATTCATAATAGAATTGTTTGCGATTCGGGTTCAATTTGGCCAAAATGGCGAAGCCTCTAATTTTTTAGTTTAAAAATTAAAAATTTTATACAAAAAATTGTTTTAAGAAATAGTAAGAAAACTATCACGAATAAAGCCTTAGTTTCATTTGAAACTATTTTCTTAATACTTTTTAAAGCTAAAAAAATATTTTAAAAAATAATTAAAAAGCCATCCTAAATGCTTGAAATAATTGAAAGTCAGAATTTGATGCAATGTGGCCAACATAGAAAATAATACTGCAATTTAATAAAAAATAATTTTGATGTTTGTTTAGAGAAATCCCCATGCATGATGGTTTTTACAATAAGTATTTTTTTTTATAAATACACCTATTACACGGATGTTTTCATCAAACAACTAAAAAATACCTAAACTCAACATATTTTTACTAATCTTAAATTTTTTAGTCATATTTCTTTGGCTAGAATTCTTCAAAAAAATTTAATTAAAATAAATAATAATTTTTAAAAATTTATTTTAAATGAATGACTTATATAAATAATTGTGGATTAAGTAGTGGCCCATTAATTGAGCGGAAAATTTTCGCGGACATTATCCGCCCTAAAATTGGAACAATTATTAGGTCTGGTGACCAGACTAGCTCTACGTCAGTCACCACTTAGATCGCGCCACATGGTCTTACTATTTATTATGCGGCCTGACGACTTGACCCGGACCGGAACCCGGGAATGCTATGTTCGCGTATTGCTAGGTATTACTCGGTATTTGCTCGGTATTGCTCGATATTGCTAGGTATTGCTTGGAAATAACGAGAAATACCGCTCTGTGAAGACCAATACCGAGCAATACCGACTAATACCCAGTTTTTCTAAAAAACTCGGTATTGCTCGGTATTACTCGGTATTGCTCGATATTTGTCTTCACATAATGGTATTTCTCGTTATTGCCGAGCAAAATCGACAAATACCTAGCAATACCGAGCAATACCGGGTTGTCATGGATTTAAAAAACTCACGTGCGACATACCCACTATTTGCCGGGTCGGATCCGCGGTTTTGTGCCTGCTACGTGGCGCGATCTCAGTGCCGGCAGAACGTAGCTCTACGTCCGTTCATCGGACCAAATAAAAGTTCCTCAAATTGCTCAAACTGTTCAAAAAAATATAAATAATTATTTTTTATTATTTATTTATCTCAAAATAAAATAAAAAATAAAAAATAATTTTCCCCCACTTT